GATGTCTGCTATTTGGATGTGGTCTGATGCGCTTGCAGGCATTCCGTCGACCACCTTTTCCAAAATTGCTGGAAGCGCTCTTGAATCCGCTGGAAATGAGATAACCTGGAATCTGAGATTTCTATTAGTGAAGGCTCGGGGATAGTTGTAAATGCTTCCCCTCTGATGAAATGCCCTGGTGTTAATGCTCTGATGTCATCAGGGTCTTCCGAGAGAAAGCTGAGAGGTCTAGAGTTGAGAACCGCCTCAACTTTAGCTAAGAACGTGGAGAAATCTTCGAACGTTAGCAACGTATCCGAGGTGGTTCGTTTGAGATGATACTTGATTGATTTCACCGCCGCCTCCCATTTTTTACCGATATGTGGTGCTGCTAAAGGATTGAACATCCACTTAGTGCCGTCATTAGCGAGAAGTCTCTGGATCTTGAGGGATTCCTTCGTTGCAGCTGAGAGAAGCTCCTTAAGCTGCTTGTCTGCTCCCTGGAAGTTAGTACCACAGTCGCTTCTGAGCGTTTTTGGAATGCCCCTACAGCTGGTAAACCGTCGAAATGCCTTAAGAAATCCTTCGGTGGAGTAGTCAGAGACTACTTCAAGATGAACGGCAGAGGTGAAGAAGCATATGAACACTGCTATCCAACCCTTAAAGGACTTTGCACCTCTGCCCTGAAAATTCTTCATGGGGACTGGCCCGGCGTAATCCAGCCCTGTAGTCTYGAACACRAGAGATGGTGTYACTCGAGATGCCKGGAGTGGAGCCATGAGTTGTTGTGCTCTCACTCCACGAATTCGAGCACAAGTGAGACAATCTTTGAGGAAGGACTTCACTGGAGCACGACCTCCAATAATCCAGAAAGTTTTTCGAATGTAGGAGAGCGTTAGCTGAGTTCCTCHATGCATGGTTCTGGCATGAGCATCGGAGATGACTAGGTTGGTGAWTTTTGACTGACGAGGTAGTATGACTGGATGTTTACTATCATCAATTAGCTGAGAATTTTGCAGCTGTCCACCAACCCTGAGAATTCCTGCACGATCGACAAAGGCCGTGAGTCGCGTCAGAACGTGACGTTTGTGAAGAGATTGACCTGCTGACAACGTTCTTAATTCTGGTGAGAAATACGCCTCTTGAGTCGCGCGTATCCAGAACGATTTTGCCTTCTCCAGGTCTGCTGAATTCAATGGCGAGGCGGACAAGCTCGAGCCAGGAACCCTCTTAAAGCGCGAGACCGCTTTCTGAAGGATTGCCGTGATCCGAAGTAGTTTAGTGAGATGCCGATTAAAGGAGGATGATTGCGGAAGGTCAACGAGGTCCCAAACTGGAGGATGGGCTTGTGAGAGTGCAAGTGAGATGCCAGGACGTTCCTCCATATCCTCCTCCGGTGAGGGTGGCACTGACAAGGGCAAATATACTGGCGACTGAGAAAGCCATGGTGGACCACTCCACCATAGTGGGTGATCAATGAGTTGAGATGCACTGAGACCGCGAGATGCACAGTCAGCTGGATTGAGCTTTCCGCAGAGGAATCTCGAAGAAGCATGGGGTACAGACTCGTGAATATCGGCTACCCTATTGCCTACGAATTCCTTCCATCTCATAGGATTGTTTTTGACCCATGCAAGGGTCACCGAAGAGTTAGACCACAGGAAAGTAGGAACGTCTGAAAGGTCGAGAAGTCTAATTACTTTTGCGGTCAGCTTGGCTAGCAGAGCCGCTGCTGAGAGTTCAAGTCTAGGAATGGTTAACCTCTTGAGAGGAGCTACTTTCGTCTTAGAACAGACTAGACTGACTACTGAAGTTAAGTCAGCATACAACACCCTGATATATACAACTGCTTTTATAGCAAGTTGAGAGGCATCTGAGAAGCCATAAACCTGTATTGAGGTTGCCTTTGACGAGAGGTTTATCCGTCGGGGAGTCTCTATGACTGATAACTGAGAGAGATGATTCCTAAACTGGGACCACTCGT